ACGAATTATAAATACCGCGCAGTTTGAGAATTTATCACCCCGATTTGAGCATATCTCACACCACTGTAGAATTACCTATGAGTAGGGATTCTCGAAGGAATCCAAAAAGTCAGGAAAATAAAATTCTCGTTCCAGTGATCGCGTCTTTTTCTTCTGACCTGTTTCCAGGAACTCGCATATTCGCTTCTATTGATTACCACGGCACCTCTGAAACAGTGGTGCTTTCCCATGAATATGGTAGACGAGTTAACTTTATTATTGGTGGATTTAAAAGCTTCAAATATTCCCAGTTTTTACGCGACCATGACACGTGAAACTTTGTTCAAATCAACCTATGTAATCGCAGAAATTGTTGTTACGAGCTATCAAATCTGTAACAGTTGGGTGTAACGGCTCCAATCAGATGTTTTGTTTAAACACCCTGGGGATGAAGCAGATGTAGCGTTTTCATCCCTTTTACTTTTCAAGTAGTTGCGATGATCAAAACTTGGTTTGGTAGGACTGTCTTTAGAGGGCCTACTTGCCTTTGAATTATAATAATAGCATACTTTCACATTGTAACCCGAGTTCAGTTTTCGTTGAATTCCGCCAATATAAGATCAATTTCCCTCTTTTCTTTCAATTCCGACAATATAAGGTTGAATTTCACTCAATAGGCATCAGTTGCCTGATAAACAGGAGTTTATGTTGATGGAGTTAATTCTATCTAGCACACTAAAACAACTATATGTGGCTGTTATTTAATATTCTTTAGTCACTTTCTACACAATTACATATTTATTGACACTTTAACCAAGAACTAACTGTTTAACTACCAATTCCGTAAGACACTTGTGCGAGGGGAACAGATATTTAAGCGACCCTGCAAGACATTCTTGCCTTTGTTTTGCAGAAGGTGGAGTACTTTAGGATTGTAAAGGCTGAGGATGACTTAGGTGGCCTCTGAACAGGTCATAAGGGCAGGAACTGCTCGCAATACAGGCATCGTTGCGCCAATTTCCAGGGCAAATATGGTTGATTTTATGATTAGAGTGAAATTTAAGTTTACAGTTAGGCTGAAGATTGGGCTTTGGATGAGTCGTTAGGAAAACCGCAAATACTTTTCGTGAGACACCGGTGCGCTCATTTTACAACACTTAAGTTAATTTCATGTGGAAAGGTTGGGAGATCAGCAGGCAGGCAGTGTACTCCTGCTCCAACCACCATCACTACCACCACCAGCATAGCTGAATGTAACGACTCCCGTCAGAAAATTTGTTTCAACACCTTGGGAATGAAGCAGATGTAAGGTTTTCACTCCTTTCACTTTTAGATCGGGTGCGATGATCAAAACTTTGTT